GCTTTTTCTTTCTCAACCATAAATAATTTGCTTTTATGCAGATTTGTCTATCTGGAGCTTCCCACTGCTGCCAAGACTCCTTGCACCAGGTTCCGCTGGTGGCAGCCCGTGTTCTCAGGGGAGGACTATGACCAGTGGGCAGTCGATGACATCATCATTCTGTCGGAAAAGCAGAAGCAGATCATCCCAGTTATCAACCCAACTTTACCCCAGGTATTTCCCATCTGTCTGAACTCCAAGAAATCAGAGTATTGTAAAAGTAAATGGGATAAATAACTGATTTTCTTAAGGATTTAGTGCTTGAAACTGAATATATAATATAAGTTTAAGTGTTTGCACTTAATTTTTTGATACCTTTCTATGCTACTAGTTCACAGATTATTTAGATGTAAAAAAAGACCGAAGTCTAAGTCATCAAGCAAAAGTGTTAGTGTGTTTATAAAATGATTAGATACACAGTGGCAAAATATTTTCAGTTGTCAAATCAGCAGGAGAAAAAGTTAATGGCAGTAAAGGAAAATAGTTAATTTAGGGATTCTTCTGTATTTTCCTAGAAATGCAAGTGGTACATGGCCCAGCATGTCATGAACTGAAAATTCCTTTCTTGTTTTCAAAGCTATCAAATTGCCTTTCTGTGTTATTTGTATTGTTTCTATTAGAACTTTTATGAGAAGCCAGCTTTTGATTACCCTATGAATCAAATGAGTGTGTGGTTGATGTTGGCTAATGAAGGGATGGTTGCAAATGAAACGTTCTGTGCTGCCACACCCTCAGCCATGGTATTTGGAAAATCAGATGGAGATCGATTTGCAGTAACTCGGGATTTGACCCTGAAACCTGGATATGTGCTACAGTTCAAGGTATTTATGCACAAACTTCTTCTCAGAGCGGATCAAGGAGCAATATGTCTTCCAGATTTATAAGTGAAACTCACAAAGAACACAAAATTTTCATATTCTTAAGTAAGTAAGAAGGGACTTACTTGATAGAAGGTTACACAATCTTGTAATTGTAAAGCTTTTCAGCTCTGCTCAAGAGAAAAACAGCTTATTCATTTTTAAGGAATCCCAGTTGTGGTTATATCATTGTATTTCTTTAAGTATTTGTGGAACTCTACCAGAATTAAAAATAAAATTGACTTCATTGCGACTTACTGAATCCCATGCTTCTGAATGATGATGGATAAGTTCTTCTGTTCAGCTTACTAGTGGATTTTGGACTTATGAGTTATTTTATGCTTTTACCATAGGATTTTCAAACAATTTCCCTTCCTTAAGTTCAATACATTTTTCCTTTAATCATTATTGTTCTCTTAGAATCTTATTCTTCAGCTCTGTGATAACATATCACCACGTATAGCCAGTATTTATTTTGACAAGCTCTTGTTTCAGAAACCTAATCAAAATTTCATTGTGTTTATAATAAAATCCCATCGGTGAATTCTGGGGTCAAAAGTAATGCAGTTTTAATGAGCTAGCACAACTACATGGTCCTGACATAACGGCAGGATGCAGATGCTAAATAATTGACAAATGGAATTATTAAAGAGATCAGATGTTTATAGGCAGCTCTTCAAATATAATTTTCCAGGTCTGTAAACAAGGAAGTTGGTCATAAATAATATGATTAGTAAAATGTTATCCTTCCTTGTTTAGATTCTGATGCTAAGCTGCCATGGAAAAACATACCAATAACAGTATATGAATCTAGATTAGTTTGTTGGTACCACCTAAAATGGTAACAAAATAATATTAATAGCAAATATTTCAAGAACACTGTGCTGTTTCTCATCTGACACCTTTCTATATAATTAGTCACAAAGTCATGGTAGCATAGGTGTTAAAGTCTGCAAGGTGATGTTCTGAAGTTTAAAAAATCTAAATAAAGAAAACATTGTTAAATACTTAAAGAACTTAAACCGCGAGCAAGAATGCATAACACTTAAGAAAAAAAATATTAATTCTCATTATTAATTTCATTCTCTTAATTCTATTATTACTTAATAAGTATAGAATATTGGTCATTCAGGGACTGATAATTAAGGTATATTTGAAACCTGTATATGAGAATTTTTGGTGTCATATGTACAAAAATACACAGTGCTGGTGCATTTTTTGTGACTGCTTGCTGTGTGACAAACAGTAGGTGCTAAGAATAAAGAAATTAAAAATATGGTCCTGGCCCTCAAGGAGTTCAGGAACTAGTGAATGAGGCCAAAAAGTGAGCACTCACAATGCAGTCACAGGATGCTGTAGTAGAAATAGGCGTTAGGTGCTATGGGAGTACCCTGCATAGTGCCTGATGAGGCAAGGGCTCAAAAAACATGTTAGTTGAATAAATGAATGGATGGATGAATGAATGAGTTGAAATTGGAAGTCTCTGGAAATACAGAGACTTAGCCAGCTGAAGAGTGGAGGGTGAGGAATTCCAATTAGAGGGAACAGAATAAGAAAACACATGGAAAAATGCAAAAGTGCAAATGAGAAAGTATAAGTTTCCACCTTTGAGGAGTGTCAAGTATGCACAATACAGGTAAGATACAAGGCTTATCCTGACTGGCATTATATTCTGTGTTAAATCAGCTTGGTCATTATCCCAAGAACAATGAGTCGTGGAAGGTTTTTAATCCATTGAGTGTCAGAATCAGACCTGTGTTTTAGAAGTATCATTCTGGCAGTAGTATGGGTATTGACTTAACAGAAGCAACTGGAATCAGCAAGTACATGCCTTCATTCATTCAGCAAATATTTGTAAAACCTCTATGCTTTAGGGCACTGTTCTAGGCTATAAAGGTAAACACAAATAGTGTGTACGGAGTAGGGTGATGGAGGATGGTTACCATTTTATAATGGGTTGTCAGGTTGGCCTCAGTAATAAAATAGCAGTTAAGCCACAACATATAGAAAGTGAAGGAGTGAGTCATGCAACTATCTGGGCAAGATCATCCCAGGCACAGGCAACAAAAAGTACCAAGATCTTGAGGTAAGAGTGTTCTTGGAAAGATTTTAGAAACCACAAGCTTGCCATTGTGACTAGAGCAGAGAAAGTGAAAAAGGGGACAGGTAGAAAAAAGTAAAGTCAGACTTCTGTTCTGAATAAAATGACCAGCAGAGGGGTGACATGCTTTGGCCTAGGCTCTTAAAGAGTCACTATGGTGACTGTGTTGGGATGACCAGCAAGGTCAAAGGCAGAAACAGAGATACCAGTGGGGCAGCTGTTGCAGTGAACCAAGTACGAGATGATGGGACCTGTGTATGATAATAGCAGAGGAGGTAGAGAGAAGTGGTCAGATTTTAAAATATATTTTGAGTAAAATGAGGATGCTAGAGCTGTAATCAAAGTCAGAAATGAGAAGGCCCAACAAAAGCACAGCATGGGTTGTAAAGAGAAGTAGATGGGTCTGAGAGATGTTAAAGGAATGCGGTTTACAGGTTCTGGTGACCTACTGGGTAATAGAATGGATTCTAGAATGATTCTCACATTTCTGGCTGTAGTCATTGAAATACAGGAAGAGGAGGATTTGTTTTAGGGAGGTGGATGACAAGAACTGCTTAGACACGTGGAGTCAGGGTGCCTATGGGCTGCTGAAGTGGAATGAACAGGCAACGGTAATGTGTATTTGTCCAGAGAGTGGGGAGAGGCCACATCTGGGAGTCACAGGTATTCAGAAGGAACTTGAAGTTATGATTGTGAACGAGATTAGGAAGCACGCATACAGTCAAAAGATAAGAAAGCCAAGAACTGAATTCTAGAAAACACCAACACTTAAAAGGCAGGCTAGATGGCCAAAAAAAGAGAAGTTGTTAACAGTGTTAGAAGCAACAGAAGAATTGAGTAAAACAAGGATTAAATTTTCCCACTGGATTTAGTTAGATAGAGGTTTCCCTGGCAATTTTACTGAGGTGGTAGCAGCAAAAGTCAGATCCTAATGGATTAAAAAAATGTTGAATAAAGAAGTCGACCCAATGAATGTGGCCTTCCTCTCAATATGGTTAGCTACATAGTTAGAGGCAGACCAAAAATCAGGGAGAATTTTTATTTTCTTTTGTTTTTTTTAAAGGTGGAAGAAACTTAAGCATATGTATCTGATGCTTAGAAGGTACCCAAGTAAATATTTGTTGAAGATATGAATAAATCTTAAATGGGAAGTTTAGGATAAATTATATATTTAATACACCTGAGAGAATGTCTATACCACCCCATTACCTGATTTCTGAAGCACGAACTTGTCAAAGAACTCAGTTCCAATGACATGTCTGCTGTAGAAACAACAGCAGTCGTGATAGGTTTAAGACGAAAAGCTGACTGTGTGTGCCCGGTGTGGCTGCTGTCACCACATGCCAACCAAGGGCCATCCTTACTAATGAGTAACGCAATAGTAAAAGCAATTTGTGTTAGAAGAGTTTAATCATATGTCTGAGAGGGTCAAATCTTTAATTATATTCTTGATGTTTTACTATATAGACTTGGATAAATGAGTCACAGTATAATTTCCACTAGCCAAACTATAAATCATTCTGAGTGATACTTTCTGGCTCTGAGTATGGAAATAAGGAAAATATAAATCTTCTTTTATAAAACTGGGGCAAAGTCTCCAAAGCTCAGGAGTTAGAGCACTGGTCTTGTAAAAAACTAGATAGAGCTACCTTGTAATCACAAGGATTCACTGGTTGACCTCTTGAGCTTTGGCCCAATATTATTAGCCTGTGATTCTACCTTTATTTCGTCCTTTATTCCTTGGTCGTGATCATGCTCTTTTGATTCCTATTTCAATTTTCCTTCTATAAAATTTGACTTGACTACTCTTATTTATAAAGTCTTCTATAACAAAATCGTATGGTGGCTCCAGCCAACAAGTGAAATAAGATATGAATAGACCATTCATGTGTGACAGAATGTAATTAATAAATATCACTTATAATAATATATAATAAAAATAATTTTACATTTATAATTATGAAGAAATGTAACCTAAAACAGTGATAAAATTCATTTCTATATTTATTAATTTAGAAAGAAACTGTCTTAAATTGTAATAATACCCAGCAGTGTGATAAAACTGATTCATTTGGACTCAACTGATACAAAATGAACACATATAGCTGGAAAATTTAAAGTGTTTCTACGTTTTGACTTAGTAATTCCTACTCCTAGGAATTTATCTGGTTATAACAAATCAACTGAAGAAAAAAAAATTTTGGAATGTTACATATAATAAAATACAATGTTAAATAGAAAGTAGGAGGAAAATTCTAGAAGTGTAGTAATTACTTCAACTATATGACCAAAATATATACTTCCCTATAAAGATCAGAAGAGAACATAGAAAAATAAAAACAGTTGTACTAGGGCAATGAGGTTTAGGTTGCATTTTTTACAATATTTTTAAATGTTGTTAATCCTATGATGATAATCTTCTACACGAGTGCACACAACAGTAACAGTTTGATTTCTGGATTATGTTGCTTATTTGATGCTGTGACAAAAACTTATCTCTTTCATCTAAGTTGACAATGATTTCTTACTGAGATGTGGCAAGAAAACAGAATAAAGATACTTACTTCATTGAAAGCAGAGAGGACAGCCCTCTCTGCAGGTAACCTTCCTCTTCTGAAGACTACAGCTGCTCCTCCGTCTTCTGCTCCCCTCTGTTTACACCCTCTGGGGAGGGAGAAGAAAGCAGTTTCTTGGCATCTTATCTTTTGTGTGGACTCAAGAACCACAAATACTGATTCTCTCTTCTATAATCCCAAGAAATCCACAAAATGAGTAACTGGTCCAGTTTTCTGTTTAAAAAGGACCTATTGCTTGCCTAATCAAAGAATTCTAGAATCTATGGAAGGGTCTTGGTTGGGATTGAGCTGCACAGTTCTTACCTGTGAAATTGAATGCAGACTCGCTAGAAGGCACCTTGGCTGTTGTAGCACCTAATTTGTTGAATGATGACTTGGAACCAAAACTTTGTATAATTCTGTCCTTCCTTTTTACAGCTAAACATAGCGTGTGCCAATCAGTTCAGCAATACTGCCCCAGTGCTGCTTCAGTACTCTCACGATGCTGGCATGTCCTGGTTTCTGGTGAAAGAAGGCTGCTACCCAGCTTCTGCAGGCAAAGGGTGTGAAGGAAACTCCAGAGAACTGAGTGAGCCCACCGTATATCACACAGGGGACTTTGAAGAATGGACAAGAATCACCATTGTTATTCCAAGGTCTCTCGCATCCAGGTAAAGTAATCATTCTCATTGAATTTGGGCCATAATAGCAAAAAACACAATCCCAAATGCCATAATCCTGAGTGTTGAAATCCCAAAAGATCAAAATCCCGAAAATATAATTCTGGAAAAAGTAATTGTAAAAATTCTTTAAAAGACATTTGTTTACATTTTTAAAGGGGAGTTTATTTGAGAAACACATAAAAACATGACAGAACACTTCATAAGATACTTTATACAATAAAACAGGCAATAATAGCATACATATCTTTCTAAGCATAAACACTGAGATACACCAAAAACAGTTGCATGGGTGTATCAGTTATGAGGAGACAAACTGTATTCGTAAAGACATGGGTCAAAAAACGCAATGTATAAATGCATATCGCTATGGTTGATAATTGTGTGCACCCAGCCTCATAACTCTGGTCATCTCAAATACCGTGACAGACAACCTAAGTCTTTTGATGAGACAGATCAAAATTCATGCTGGATCACCACCATATACGCAGTCACCCAAAGTGCAGAGATATCAAGAAATTTTATCTTTTGCAAATGCAGATATGCAAAAAGGACATCTCTTCATTTATTGAGGAAGTTTTTCAACATTTTTATGTACATGCACAATGCTTACACACAGTCAAATTGTGATAAGGCACTTTCATAGAGTCAGATTTGCAAAAAAATGCAGAAAGCAAATTAGAACTCTCTAAAAGTCTTTACACAGTTTACACCTCTGGTCTTGGAAATGTTGCCAAGATGAAATACATAGCATAGCAAATTGGCGCTCTCTGTGAAGAGGCAGAAGCTGTACATGACCGGGTAATTTGGAAGGGGAGATTTCTTATATTTTTTTGTCTGTTTTTCCACTTTTTCTATGATCTTCAAAATACTTGCTGCACTTATATTTAGAGAATGGTCGTGGTCTGCAAATTTCGTGAGTATGTACTGTCTATTTGAAAGTCTGGTTAGTGCTTGGCCATCGTAATTAAGCAGTTTTCTACTTTTGCAGCACCAATAAATAATTAGCTTTTAAACTTTTATCTTTCACCATTAAGTAGCCTCACACACTTATCACAGACTTCTTGCGAGGGGACAGTGTCACAGATTTCTTCTATCATGTTGTATACAATACAGTAAGAAGGAATGCTATTTGGCTTCCCAATACCAAATCTGTATTAGTCAGGGTTCTCCAGAGAGATAGAAACAATAGGATATGTATATAGACATATGAGAGGGGATTTATTAGGAGAAATTGGCTCACACAGTTGTGCTGGCTGAGAAGTCCCATGACAGGCAATCTGCAAGCTGGAGACCTGGGATGCCAGTAACGTGGCTCAGTTCAAGTCTGAAGGCCTCAGCACCATGGAAACTGATGGTATAACTCTCAGTCCAAAAGTGAAAGCCTCAGGACCTATGAGGCTACTGGTGTAAGTCCTGGAATCCAAAAGCCAGAGAGCCTAGAATTCTGACATCTAAGACAGCAGAAGAAAAGTCTGTCCCAGCTCTCAGAAACCAATTTGCCTTCTGTGTTTTTTCTCTTTGGGCCTCCAGCCGATTGGATGGTGCCCTCCAACATGGCGGGCAGATCTTGCCCCATCTAGTCCACTCAGACTCACACACTAATCTCATGTGGAAATACCCTCACAGACCACCCAAATAAGGTGGTTTCTAGGTTTCTAGGTGGTTTCTAGGTGGTTTCACCAGGTTTCTAGGTATTCTTCAATCCAGTCAAGTTGACACCTAAAATTAAGTCCGCAAGTCCACCTCTCGTCAGCTTGGCACACATACACATCTCCTTAAACCATACTTAATTTGCAAATAATGACAATAATTCTGCCCAACATGGTGCAACTAATGCGATGCAACTATCCTGCATCCAGCCAAAAATGCACTAATCTCTTCCCTAGGACTCAGTTTTCAGGATTTCAACATTTAGGATTTTAATTTTGGGGGGTTGTGATTTTGGGGATTTTAGACATTAGAAATTTTAGACTTCAAGGATTTTGATCTTTGGGGATTTCAAAATTCAGGATTATGGCATTCAGGATTGTGTCTTTCGAGATCGTGATCAGCACAGATTCTTATGTGCCATGGCTGCCATTTATTGAGAACGTTTATTTATCTCAATAACCTATAAGAACTTATTAGGTCTAGCTATACTTATGCAAGTAAAGACTCTTGAGGAAAGGAGTCCTGGGACAAAATTTCCAAAATGTATGCATGCATATAAAAAATGTATACATGCACACACATGCTTGTGGAGTGAGATAAATTTACACATTTAGTTTATTCAACAAATATTTATTGAGCTTCTGCCTGTGCAAGCTACCATTCTGGGCACTGAGTATAGCAGTGAACAAAGTGTATTAAAGGCCAAAAAAGTTGTAAGGCATTATAATATCAGACTATCACTATATGTAGATTTTTAATGATTTAATGCCTCCTTACATAGACAAGTTGAGGTACCTTGCAATATAAATGACCCCTTTCAATACCCATTTAAATAACTAATAAAACAATAGAAAGATTAAAGATCACTTGATGGAGAAATGAAATCTATGGACCAAGAGCTTGAAGTGAATTAGTTTCAATAATAGGGCAACAAATTTAACTCTTAGCATCTTGGCAGCTAAGACAAAGGGGGAAAATACAAGGTCATTTAATTTTCATTGCTGAGTAAAAAGAAAGAAAGCAGACACTTTCTGATTTTTTAAAAATCAGATTTTTTAAAAATACTTTTTTTCCAGGCTTGCTACTCTAGAGTAAATTTGTAGCATGTATCCCTGTACCAGATAGAGTAGGTAACACAGAGATCAGTACTTTTAACTATATCATTTCACAAAAGATAAAGAACCTTTTTTCAGGTTTTAAGTTCTTTTCTTTTTCTTTGAGACAGAATCTTGCTCTGTTACCCCGGGTAGAGTACAGTGGTGTCATCGTAGCTCATTGCAGCCTCAAACTCCTGAGCTCAAGCAATTCTCCTGCCTCAGCCTCCTGAGTAGGTGGGACTACAGGTGCGCACCACCACGCCCAGCTAATTTTTTTTTTTCTATTTTTGGTAGAGATGAGGTCTCATTCTTACTCAGGCTGGTCTTGAACTTTTGGCTTTGAGCACTCCTCCCACCTTGGCCTCCCAAAGTGCTAGTATTACGTGTGTGAGCCACCTCTCCCTGCCAAGTTCACTTCTTAATTGAATCCTAGAATATGACATTAATTGTGACTCAAAGCATTTCTGTGTAGAGCTGAAATGACATAAGAAGTCTATTTGCGTTGCTTCTTGATAGTGTAATATATGGTTGGGATACTCATTGGTGCCATTCAACAATATTTTCAGCTTTCTTCCTGCCTAGAGCAAGGGAGGGTTGTACATTCCCCACACCCTTTAAAGGTTGGCATGGCTGAATGAAATGTGAATGGAAATGAAACATGTGACTTTAAGAGCCCATGTGCATTTTGCCATGTTCCCTGCTTCATAGAAGCACGTATTGAGATGAATCTCACATCTATCTGGGTCCCTGAGTACAATAAGCAGACTCCCTTGCCAGCCTACACTGTACATATAAATATGCGAGAAATAAATTTTTGTTGTGTTAAGCCACTGAGATTGGGGTTAAGCCACAGCATAACCTGTCTCATTCTGACTTACATGTAATGGTAAAAGCTTAGCAATCTATAGAAGTGGCTCATTGATAAAGTTCTTAGAGACCATTCTGTCTGTGACATCTTTCACCCAATCACCAAATTTACTGGTGACAAATCAATTATCTGGCCAGATAAGCTGCTTGTCTTCTCTGCCTCCCTTGTCACTTAGATGTTCATACCTCTAATGATTACACCATAGCCTTTTTAGGCAAACTTCCTGGATAGGGAAGGAGCTTGTTTGTTCAAAGATACTCAGTCAAGTTTCTGTGCTAATCTGCTAAACCTTGAAGCATAATCTTTAAACACCAGCTATTTCAAGAAAGAATTTGTCAATCATCAGATCCAGGTCAATATGTAGGTAATTTTGTTGTCTTCACATGTCAGTGTTCTCTGTAGTTTGTCAAAGAGAGACTTAAATGCTTTAGATATTTAATGTGGAGGGAGCAGAGTTGACCAAAAAAAGGAGACAAGAAAAAGGAAGAAATGGGAAGCACATAGCAGTTACTGGCCCACAGGAATTCTCAAAGTCAGCAAGAGCCTTGTTACTAGGCTCCCTCCTCCCTCTTCCAAGAGCAATGTCTAGGACAAGAAAGTTTCCTGGATTAAGACAGTTCTGCTCCCTGGGAGTGAGTCCCTGATCCATTGTTCTTCTCAGCTCTTTATCCTACTCTCTACGCTAGACCTGAGACATCTTTCCTTATCTGTAAGAACATGTCTGTGTTTGCAGCTGAATAGCCATCTCATCCTGCTTCCTGCCCATCTTGAGCTATGCATGTAACAGTGCAGCCCTTGTTCCCCTCGCCTCTACCGCTGCCTTTTCCCCCCACACTTTCCAAAACTGTGGCCCAACTACAGCTCTCCCAAGTAGATAGGTGTAGGGGAACATCAAGTGGTACATCTTTGCTATAGTGATTAGAATATCAAGGTGCTGGAAGACATCACTGTAAAAGTAAATAATATGTTCAGGAGCCAAGGAACGCAAATCTGGTTTGATTTCCTCAAAGCCCAGTAATATACAGCTGACTGTGAAACTGCAGTTCATTTGGTGTTGGCGTGGAATAACAAAATTGGTAAAGCCACATATTAGAAGTAAGAAAAGGTTGTCCTTAGCATCACAAAGTGAGCCAATATTTTGAGGCTTCTAATATATCAATATTTTCTTGGACCTCAGCTTTTGGAAGAAGAAATCTTCTCCATTAGAATTCAGCCTCCTGGTTAATTTGGATACCATCCAGCTTACTGGTGGATGGCATTTGTGATGAAGAGCCTCTACTAAAGAGTTGTAAATATGTTTCTACTTTACCCCAAGTAAATGAGCTGTTGTTGTACCTTCTGCAATATGTTAAGCTCAGATATCTCCAAATGCAATGTTGGAAAGCTGAGAATTCTAAGTGTTAAAATTGTTAAAATTTGGAGCTATTTTGCCACAAGGCAACATGCTTGTAATAGTTACTAGAACATTGCTCTTTCAGAAATAACTCTAAGCTGATTTTCTCAAAGGAGCAGTTTATGCTCTTATTAATTCACTGGGTTCTCAGTTACAGAGGAAAGACATTGGTGACAGTGAATATATGTTGTTGCATCTCTCCCCACTCCCAGAGGCATCCCTGTCCAGAGACTATACCACACAGCCCGCTGTAGGTTCCCTATGCAGGGTGCAAAAAAGTGGGTGTCTCCGAGCAGGGCTAGAAGTACAATTGCTTAGTATTCTGCAGACTGTCTGCACCACCACCCATCACCTGTGCCTCTCCGCACAGGACAGTAACTTCCTGATTTGAGAGGCAAATCCAACATCTCTCTAAATTGTGTGGCGATGGAAGTGTAAAGTGTAGAAGCCAATTCTCCTGGTCCCTTAGGCATCCTCTGAACAAAGATGAAAATTGGGGATGGGGACAAAGAGAAAGACTCTTATCTTCTCCTCCTTTTTTCCTCATCTGGGACATGCAAAACAAAAGGGGCAGTTTCGTTGAATGATCTGAATCGTCAAACCACACTATGGTTTATTTCTAGTAAAATTACATAAGATTAAACTCTTTCTTCTCAATCATCACTTCCTCCAAATCCTTCCTAGACCCCCGACTATCAAGTCAAAGACCTCTAGCGCACGTTCTCCTCGCTCCATGTCCTTCTCAGTGCTGGTTGCCAGAGTGGCACAGGTACATTTCTTTGTGTGGGTGCTCGATTAGGTGTCTCCCCACTCGAGTGTGGACTGTGTGAGGGCGGGAACCGTGTCTGGGTTTTGCTCCCCGCAGTACGCCCAGCCCTACCACTGTCCTGGCCTGCTGCAGGTGCCTGCTAAATGCTGGTTGAATGAAGAGATGTTGAACAAGGAATAAAGGCCAGCAAAAGGTGATTAACCATAATCAAAACACCTTCCTTTTTCATGTGTTTTCCAAAATAAATTCAGTGCTATTTAGCAAGAAATCATTGTTCTGCATTCTACTGTGTTTCCTTGAAAAGGCAAGAATAGCATATGTGCACAAATACATTAATAATATTAGTAACTGCAAGGCTATATCTCCTCTACTTTAAAAGTGTGGAACTTAGTCATACTTATAAGCTTAACTTTGGCCTGCTTATTTCCTTCCTTGTTCTAATGGTCTCTGTCTTAGTTTGTGTTGCTATAAAAGAATAGCTGACACTGGGTAATTTATAAAGAAAAGAGGTTTATTTGGCTCATGGTTCTGCAGGCTGTACAAGAAGCATGATGCCAGCAGCTTTTCTGGTGAGGGTCTCCAACTGCTTCCACTCATAGTGGAAGGGAAAAGGGAGCAAGCACCACATGGCAAGAGGAAAGAAGCAAAAGAGAAAAGGGAGGGAGGTGCCTGGCTCGTTTAACAAGCGGTTCTCTCTAGAACTAATAGAATGAAAACTCACCACAGCGAGATCGCACCAAGCCATTCATGAGGGATCCACCCGCATAACCCAGACACCTCCCACCAGGCCCCACCTCCAACACTGCGGATCAAATTTCAACATGAGATTTGGAGGGGACAAATATCCAAAGTGCATCAGCCTTTCTCTCATTAGTTTTTATGATCAATTCTTTACCAGTTCTTCTTCTTATTCCAGCAACCCTGAGGTTGCCAAATTTCTTGAGTTCAATCCCAAGATTGGGCTACTGAGAAGAGAACAGGGTAGCAGCTGGCATCAGGGACCAGGCACAACTGGAGAAATGGAAATGAAGCAAAACTTAACTTAGGTCGTGGCCAGTGAGACCTTTGTTACTTTGATTTGCACCTTCCAACTAAAAACCAACCAGCAAAGATTGAAAGAAAGAAGAGAGGAACCATCTCTTGTCCTTTCACTGAAATATAGTTTTCCATCTAGGACTCTCAACTATGACTCACCATGTCCTGGACTCACCCTATTAGCCAAGATTAGTCTTTCTGTTTCCTTTTTCTTTCTTTTTTTTTTTCCTTATTTAAACATTGATTCCTTAATACTGAACTCCTAAGATCTTTTACCTTTTCAAATATTTAACAGCTCATTCTGCTTCTTGGGTCTATAGTAGCCTTAGGATCTGCAAACAGGGTGCCACCTCACTCTGGCCAGACCAGAACTTGATTCTTTTAATATTACAATGAAAAGCACAAGACCCCAAAAAACAAAGACAGGTTAAAGGATTTCATTTGTCCTCTATTCACTATCAAATTACTAAAACTTTTTCTAGAATTCTACCAAAATGTGGGATTCTTCAACACTCTCAATGCTTCTGGGCCCAAATCAGCCTGCTTCTTCCATGAAGTGGAGAAGTTGATGGAGAGATACCTTTATCTTTCCCAAGTGGGAAAGTGTAGGGTAGGGGAAAGAAGTTGTTCTTTCTCTTTTATTACTTTACACATGGCAGAAGTTGTGGGTCCCTGTTTCTCTGGGTTCTATGATAGAACATAAAAAGCAGCAGCATGGATGACTTCTAATCCAAGAGGACTTGTGTCAGGGAATTGGCATGTTTTCCTTGTTTATCACAGATAATACAGTCTCTCCCTTAGAAGGAGCAAAGAGGCCTTAACATTTTCCTTAAGAGCAATTGGAAAATACTGATATTCATCAATGCCATTTACTTCATTAACTTCCTTTGAAAGGTAAAATACCTTCACAGGCTGAATAATGTTAAAACTCCAATGGAAGGAATTGTCCCAAGGTCTATGACATTAGGACAACTATATATATATATATATATATATATATATATATATTTGCTTTTGCTTTGTTTTTATAATCTTCTTTTTTGCCTTAAAAATTACCCTGATTTGATTAATTCACATTGTAAGACCAATATATTTTGAATTAGCTCCAAAGGAAATACTTTTATATGTTCACCTTCCTCTTAACCGGGGCTTGCATTAACAGATGATTAATTTCTGAAAACTTTTAAACCTAGCAAGCAACATTTTTGGTTACATTTTGAAAATTTCCCAAGAATAGGTAACTCAAAATAATGAAGTGAAAGAAAAAGCCAGGCTTATGGTTCAGTGTTGCCAAATGTCCAAAGCCCCATGAAGAGCCAAAAAGAAATGCGTTCTGATACTGCCATGTTATTGTCACAATAATGGAAGGGAGAAGGAGCCATCCTTCTCTGTAGTTATCCTTAACAGTCTTCATTAATCTTTATGATTCTTTATCCTTGTTTACTAAGAAACTGGTTCACTCAAAAGTCTATAAATATTGGAATCTAGATATACTACTACATCTTCCTCCTTTGATTTTAGTGGAACTAAGAAGGAAGAGGGATTTCCCTGGTATGAAATTATAGATGTGCATATGCGCTCATATGTTTGAAAAGAAAAGAGATGTGTTGAAAAGATTGGAAAGCAATTGAGACCAGTTTTAGTTTGGCAGCATCAGAACTACTGTTCTAGGGGACGAAGGACCGGGCAGTCGCCCAGCCCCTGGTGATGCAGCACTTTGAAGTGCTGGGACTAGGTCCCTCTTTTGTTCATTGGCAGTTACAGGTATTCACTGGCAGCCTAGCTGGTTGCTAGGAGTTCATAGAATGAGCATCTTGGAAACTGGAAGACGAAAGATGAAGAGGAAGGGAAGGAAGGCACAGGTGGAAACAGAGCTGTCAGTACACACTTAACTCTTCCCTACTCGAAGCAGGTCAGCGGTAAATAGCCAGAGTTCCTTTATATGTCCTAACAAAGAACATTCTATTTGATGGTTTCAAAAATTCCCAAATAGTCTCTTCTGAAAATATCCATAAAATTAGTGCAATGGAAGGGTGAAATATTGAGTAAAGGAAAAGAATATCTTTCTGGGTTTTATTTATTACTAAAAGGACAGAAGATAAGAAAATATGCAAGTAAAACCTATGATATATTCTGGTCATCAAAAGTGTTCTGTACCTGATATCCTCCCAGCATTGAAACATTTATGCTGAAAAAGAAATCAAGAGGCCAGGTGCGGTGGCTCACGCCTGTAATCGTAGCACTCTGGGAGGCCGAGGCGGGCGGATTGTTTGAGCT